AGGAGGGGTATGCATGGCATGACGCGTCTAGAGTCCAAATGCCAAACATATGTGCTAAATTGTCAAGGCTTATTAGCACCCTATTAGTGGCCTATTAGAGCCCTATGTGTGGTGTGAAATGTTGGCGAGGCTGGCTTCACGGGATTCTGCACAGTTCAATACCAACATTTGTGAGAAAGGGCCAGCAAGGCTTCCACATCCTCAAAAAGGATACGTGTACTGTACACCATAGACTTAAATATGTACAAGTAGACTGTCGCCTAGCTCGCACCATGGCTTCTGAACGGGCCTCACTCCACTTCCTTTGATTATGTTTTGTTTCTGGGACCCCAACAGGTGGAGATAGTGGAAACTGAACCCAACACCTGGCCAAGACTGGTCAAACCATGGTTGGATGTGGTTGGTTGGCCTTGGAGCTTTTCACCGCAGGACCTCTTTCCCGTTGATTCGGAAGGGATTCTTCACTGCTTTCATGATCGCGTAGGCAAAGTTTACCGAGTGTCTTTTCCAGGAAGATACTTGCTCTGCAATGCGTTTTCAAGTGACGGCAAGTCAGGTCAGTCAGGTCCTTTGTCAAGTTTTGGTCCCGGCTGGAAATTGAACAACTAAGGGTGTATTAGTGCTTTAATAGCCTCCTATTGTTGGGGGGTTCAATGTAAGAGGGGTTCCAGGTGCTAGTCCCTTGTTTGTTCTGCCAGGGCCTGACCTGCCTCACAAAACCCGGACTGCTTGATCAGTTTTATGTAATAAGGGCTTGAGGCTTCCTGGTGCATGCGTTTGCTGCAGGTGCGAAAGAGTTTGAGCATGCGAGTTGCTCCAGAAAATGGCCTACCACCAGGGCTGCAGAGGAGATCGACGCTCTGAAGTGTGTTGTCTCTTGGGCATATGCGCGATGGAGGCGTGAGTACCCAAGATCAACTGCAGTTGAGTGACCTGGCGTTACTTGAGGTTCCGCGTATCTTTTCCTGGTGCCCTATTGCTTTGCTATTGAACAGTGTCCACCGTTTTCCTTGGAATGCTTCGGTCCATGGACAGCAACGCCCGAAGAATACACCTTCTCAATCTACGAACCTCCCCCAATCCAAGCCCTTGGCTTTGTGAACCTACCTTTCCGTTCCTAGATATGGGGACCCTTTTTGCAGCTTGGTTTGAATAATTAAGATGCCGCACTCGGCCGGGGCGCCTGCAGTGGCCACCGGATACACAAAATGACTTATGTCAAAACGGTCTTGGTCTTTGAGTACACAGCTGAGACAATTCATCGTGTAGAATGTAAACGGAACCTGGGGCGGTCCGAACTAGAGAGTGTGTTAGTCATTCACTAGTTCACGTACACCTGGCACAACTAACTGCGAAGGGATTTCTAGTCGACTGTGTCGCTAAGGCCTTCTATGGCTGATTTGAAGGATTTCATCGAGAAAGCAGCTGCTGCCGAAAGAGCAGGGTGAAAATCACCGTTTCACTTTCGAGAGCAGGTGAACACCGCCCGCTGAAAAAGGTGCCAAACAAACCGTTTCTGAGAAGCGATCACCTATCTAATGTCAGCTCTTTTCAAGACACCTGAACTTACCGGAACATCATCCCGGGCCACAAAACCTGGTCTTTTCAATGATTTTTATTTAGAGCCTTTTGCTGTGTTTCATACACTCCAAATCTCCTACTCCAGCGGTTGTTCACCCATTTTGGCGGTGACCCGGATGATCTGAGGATTGTTTTGGTTTCAGGGTGGGTCTCAGTTGTTGCGCAACACGATGTGTTCCACATATGTCCTAATAAACCCTTAATAAGGGTTGTCTTCCCTTGGTGCACCAAGTGCTCGAAGTACTGCTCATTCAGCATTCTCACATCCTTAATAGAGCCTTATTAACTTTTTTTTCTAAAAAAAAATTGAGGGGGGTAGTGTAGACGGGGGCAGTGCGAATGTCCATGACCTAGGGTCTCTCTATATAAATAAATATATATGTAGGAAGCTTCAAAAATCACAAGTTCATCAGTTTACCCCGGAACACATCCATCTGGCACTTCACTTTGAAGGGAAGTCCGTATCTTCCGCCTCCCCAACTCCAACTGTTTTGCTCTGGGGTCTGTCAAGCCATCGACACCTGTCGCGGCAACACCACTGCCCGCGGCATGTGAGGCCTCCAAGCCGCTGCGCGGCAGGCCTCTGGGCATTCATCTCCCAAGACCCCAATCAACTCCCTGATGGTGACCAAGTCCTTAGAGCCGCTTGGATCATTTCCATGGACAAACGAATGGGATTGCAATGGGAGGAACTGGCGGATGTCTGAAGACTTGTGGACCTGGCCTGGAGAGAATCTCGCATGTATTATATATTCTTCTAATTACGCATCATCCATGGCTGCAGCAGCCCGGGGGCAATGCACCAACCATACGCTGGCTCAGGATCTTAACTGCTCTGTGGCATACTTTGGCACGGGAAACGTGAGGCTGAGGCCACGGCACGATCCCTTTTTACCACTGCTTAATCTTCTCGGGCACACCAGTCCTGCTATGTCCTGCTGAGTGCTCGCCGCAGTGAAAGCATGGTCGTCCTCCTGTACATGTCAAAGCTGGGTAGCTAAACTATGCCCAGCACGAATGACGCGCCGAGGACAGGGCGTTGATGAAAAAGGTAGCAGGTAGCGTTTCATCAGGTCTACGTCCTCCATGTCATACGAGGCCCCAACATCAGGTCCCCAAGACCGATGAGAGTCGCTGCTCCCAGGCGAGAACAAAGCGGAGCCATGCGGAGCCTAAGAAGCCGGCGTTTTGTGAGTTCTTCTCAAGGATTCATTCTCCTCCTTCAAGGATTGATTTGCCCTGAGCAGGGCTTGGATGTGCGATCTTGCATTGGCCTTCATGTGAGCCTCCAGCTGGTCCACGGCCACCTGCTCTCCACAAACTTCGCAGGACATCAGCCGGGACCTGCACTGCTCCTGTCAGAGATAAACAAAACTAATCTCATATCAGGTTGACCTTTTGATCCCCTGGTTTGAGGTCACTTAGGCCTGGAAATGGTCACTCATATAGGGACTCCACAAAGGTCGCTTTGAAGAAGCTGGTACTTCGGGCCTGGGGTCAAAGCAGCCATGTCTATTCCTTTAGACGTACCAATCTGAGGCATCCTGTAGCTGTGCGCACCAGGCCCAGTAGTCACGGGTGGCTGATCAACCCTTGGTGCTCAAACAAAATGCATCCCCCAACTAACCGGATCATTTCAGGCATTTTCAGGGATAATCCGAATGCTTGGTTTTGTGGTACGTGCCCGCCTAGCTCTTTCACTCTAGATAAACACATAAATTATAAACATCAGAAATCTTGAATCCTGACCATCCTTCCTTCTCTCCTTCCACCTCCCCTCTTTCCAATACCAGCTTTCTGTGGCGCCACCTGTCCTTGTGGTGAATGGAGAGCGTCTCAGCCTGAACCTCCTCTTTGCACTCGCTACAGCACAATGTACGCTTACCACACCTGGACATATGCCCCCTCTTGTCGCCCAAGCGACAAGTCTCTTTGCAGCCAAGGGGGCACTGGATCATGAGATTGAGGATCTTACGTTGATCCCGGGGTGCTGTCACGATGCTGTCCCCATCGCCGCGGCAAACTGGGCAGCTGGGCTGGTCTGTTTCGGCGATCCATCGGGTCCAGCACATCTCGCAAAAGAGGTTTCCACAGCCATGTGCAAGCGCATCTCGTGCCACACACATGCAAATCGCACACTTCATGTTCGCCGCTTCGGCCACATCCAACCATTGCTCATCATGGCCAGCATCGGTATCAAGCTCAGGCGGTTCGGGTTCATCGCTCCGAATGCAGGTGCCATCGGGGTCATCCAGCACCTGCCTTGGACAAGGAGAAGGAGGGGTCGAAGCAGCGGCTTCAGCATCTACTTCTTCCCCGGATTCGGACCTTACCTGAATCACACGAAACCATCCATCCATGTCTGGGTTTCCAGGGTGGTCTCCACAATCAGGTCGGCTCCAGACTTGGCCAAAAGCTTCACCCCCATCACGCTGTGGGTTGCCCTCCGGAACGGGGATGTCCTCCGCCGTGTTCGCCCGGAACAAATCATACTGGCCGTGAGCGCCCACGCGGTAGTTCGCCCGAGTGGTCCGGTGATCCCACTTCACGGTGATCCAGCCTGGCATGGAACATGCTTCGGTGGTGCCAAGGCCTCCTCTGTCTTGGTTGCCCCACTTCCAATCTGGTCCTCGCCTCACTCTCAGGCCAAGCTCTGCGGAACTCAGAACATGACCTGTTGCTGAGGCAGCGAGTGAAGGTGAGTCAACGATGAGGTCATAGCGTCCTTCTGCCCCAACCCGGTACCGGTAGCCATGCTCCTCCCCACCAGCATCCCACTTCACACCGACCCAACCCTCTTGCTCACATTCAATTACAGTGCCTGGGCCTCCTCCATCCTGGTGGCCCCACTTCCAATCAAGGCCTCTTCTGACTCTGACGCCCCGCTCCGCCAACCTTAACACCTCACCTGGCACAGGCAATGTGGAGCTGTCCACGACGAGGTCATAGCTGCCTTCAGCACCCACGCGACACCGAGTCCTCCGGCCTGTATCCCACTGGACGGCCACCCAGCCATCTCTATGGGCTCCTTCAATGGTGATCCCTGGGCCTCCTCCATCCTGGTGGTCCCACTTCCAATCTACCCACGCCTCACTTTCACACCTACCACTGCGCGGAGCAAAGAATCTGGCAAAGAAGGAGAAACACCTGATGTGGATGAAAATGAGGCCATGATCAAATCATACTTTCCCCCGGCACCAACGCGGTACACGTTTCGACCTCCAGCATCCCACCGCACCCAAACACAACCAGCTCGATGGCCACCCCTGCCTTCGATGGTGGTGCCCAGACCTCCACCATCCTGGTCACCCCACCGCCAATCGGGCCCCCTCCTCACTCTGAGGCCGACCTCCGCGCTCCTCAAGACTTCTCCAGGTTGGGCAGGAGGGGGAGTAAGTGCAGCGGACGCAGTGGACGCTTCACCTGCCGTTTCGTGATTGATGGCTGCAGCTACCTTGTCGCAGGGCCTCAGCACCTCAGGGTGGTCAAGCCGAACACCCTTTGATGGCGGGAAAAAATGTTAGTTTACTTCGAGCGATGCCCACCCTGAAAGGCGATTTGGAAGAAAACAGGGCACAATGTATTGAAAGACTGGCCTGACAAAGGTGGACATGCGGATCGACACACTGTTGTTCTGACACATCATCTATCATAGAGGCTGGGAAATGTTCTGGACTGTGTTCTGGCGTCCTTGTTGGCGTGCGTTCTTAACATGTTTTCCTGCCGTGAAGTCTGACGGACTTCGGTCCTTGCATGTGCTCTGACATGTATTCCAACGATTAACGATTGTTCTGCCATCAAGGAAAGTGTCCATCTTGCGGGTATCGGATATATATTTTTTGTAACCCCCCAAATGTCTACCTGTTTTAGTTTTATTTGTAGTTGCAGTGTTTTCTGCGCATTGTTTCTGGTTTGTTTTGATAAATATTGTAGTGCTTCATTAAATGTGTATATGTTTTTGATACCTAATATACCATTTTTTATGTCCATATATTTCTACATGTCCATATATTTCTACATAAGCTTGTCCATTTGCACCCCCTCTTGCAGTGCAGGTGAAGATTATATGAAAAAAACAGAAAACAAGAACAATCTAAACAATCTTAAGGAATCTTAAGATTTTCCTGGAACCCAGAACCAAGATTGCACAGAAAGTCTTGGAGATAATCCTGGTTCTTGGTTCCAAGAAAGCCTTCTCATCAGAACCAAGATTGTCCCCAAGACTTTCTGTGCAATCTTGGTTCTTGGTTCTTGGTTCCATGAAAGATTTCTTAAGAACTATTGTTCCCGCAGTATGTGAATTTGATAGAAGTACTCTCAATATGCCAGCCAGTGCGAAAATAACTCAATGTGTGAATTTTAAGATCAAGAAACTAGTTAATGAGATTGCAACTCTATTCTTCTCTTATTTTCTCCTCCTCCCTTCTCTTCCCTTCTGTTCTCTGAGAAGTGAAAGAGGAGAGAACAGGAAGAAATGCTACTGAGATGTCACACACACCAGTGAGCCTGTCAATTGTCAAGTTACAGTGTGGCATTGAAACTTGCAGTTGGCACAACTCATCGTTTGTCTTGCGGTGATTACAAAAATGTTCTTCATTGTAATGTACACAAGTAATTGTGGGAATTGCTCTGTTACTTTGTGATATTCACAGTTGTATAATAGTTAATTCAATATGTCAAGCTATTAAGTCACAACTCACATGGTCAGTTGAATTAATCAATGTTCACGTTTTACAAATGCAATAAATACAACTAACAGTGAGAGCTGCAGCAATTATATATAATGTTGTAAGTTGTCATAATCACAAGTGAGTTTGTCAATTGTAATGTTTATCGGTGGTTGTCACAATTGTCAAATAAAGAATTCATGTATATATTGAGATTTTCAACTTCAATGTGAGAGTTGCCCTCATCAATTTTCATCCTTACACTTGCATTAGATACAACTGAAGGTATGGGAAGGCTAACAATGTACATTACCAATATTGCCTTCACCAAATCTCATATGCACATGTGCATTGTAAGCACTTGACAACTTGACAAAATCAGTTGCAATCTTAATGTGTTATATTATCAATTGTCCTGCACGCAAATAGTTCTGTGAGTTTATGTGTTACCCTGTGGTATTCACAATTATAAAGCATGCAGGTCAATGCCCTAGTTGCGCAAACCCAATGTTTTGTGACTGTCACAAATGTATAGTTTTAAATTACAGATTTGAATTGTTTGTGTAATGCCAGTGAAAAAAGCAAACTAGCGACTCTTATAAGCAGTTGTATTCATCAATCATCAGACGTGCAATTGCACTGGGTGCAACTGAGAGTCTGACTTGGGGTGCTCATATATACTATTGTTCATCAGGTACGCAATTAATTCTGTAAATTGTTCTGATATTTGGGGGGTCTTCACACTTGCACCATGAGATTCATACTTTGAATTGCAAGCCCCATGTAACAATTTGAGTCGATAATTTTGAAATTCACATGATCAGTTATATCCATGAACTCTTACATTTGCAATTGCATTAGATACTACTAGCAATATGAATTGGAATGTATCCTTGTCCTCGAAATTCCCAACCTTGGAAAACATATGTCCTTATCTGTGTGCATTGGTCACCCGTTCTGCTTATATTCATGCAGTTAAATCACAGGATAACACAAGGTAAAAAACAATGCTAGCAAACCAAAAAGGTAGACATTTGTGTAGCACACATATGTATGTATATACTGACATTCTATCTGGCATATATTCTGTCATTCTATCTGGCACATGCTCTTGCATCCTATCTGGCATGTAAGGCATTGGGCATTCTACCTGGCATACGTTCTGGATAGTCTCTACCCTATATTTCATTCTTACGCGCTGATCCCTGCTTGAAATGTGCAACACCAAACGCAGCCACAAACCAAGGACACGTTGACAACTGACCCACCATCATGAACATGAAGGGATATGAATGGTATTCCTTTGTTTTCTTGTATTTTCTTGTTTACTCTTTGGTTTGAAGTCTTCCTCCTGCTTGGTTGAGCATGCAACTGCAGAAAATGATTTGCTAGGTGTGTCAGGTCTGGATGACTCCCTGTTTTGTTTTTTTAGATGCTTTCAAGCACATCTCATCAAATCTCAACATATCGGAATGTCACCAAATAATATGATGTGAACTCACTTTTCACCTTCTCAAGCGGCCCCCCCTCACGCCGGCAATTGTTAACTTGCAAAAAGTATCATAAAGTCAACTCCAGACATGTGATTCTGGACTCAACAGGAGGCCTTGATTAATTTTCAAACACCGGGACGTTGGGGCAATCATTCTGGCACTCTATCTTGCATGGCATTCTGCTCGGCAGATACTCTAGCATTCTATCTGGCATTCATGCTGAAATTCCACCTGGCATTCCCTCGAGCATGTGTTCCGGCGTTCTATCTGAATTTCTTGTGCATACATTCTGGCGTTCTATCTGGATTCTGGCATTGTATCTGGCATGCTTGCTGGCATACACTGGCAGTCCATCTGGCATAATACACTTCTATCTGGCGCGGTCCAGCGGTGCCCACTGCAATCAGGCACTGGCGGTTGAGGCCCGGCGGTGCCCACTGCGATCAAGCGCTGGCGGTTGAGGCCGGCGGTCCCCACTGCGATCCAGCACTTGCAGTTGAGGTCCGGTGGAGGAGAAGGAGGAGAAGGAGAAGGAGGAGACATCTCTGATAAAATCTAACAATCCTTACCTGGCAGGTGGAGAAAACAATAAAAAAAATGCCACAAGTGGAATCTGCCATGTCACATCGACAAATCCACTATGATAGGAGTAGGTGAGAACAAGAACCAGGGTGGAAGTATATATCATATCATATCTATACCCTAGGATTCCAGCCACCATTGATTTATATAATAGAAAATGGTTCTTGCCAAACAGCCAAGCGTTTCACAAAACCAGGTGAACCAGCCGTATGAGCAGTCTAAATGGTCAAATCAAGCATAAAGCCATAACGCCCAACAACAACTTGTCAATTTACAAGATTTAGATTGATGGAAAGTTGAAGTTTTTATCCAATTCTATGGTCCTTCACACCAGGTGGCCTGGCTCAGTTGCTGATGCATGTTCAGAAGCGATGTGGAATGACACAGTTATGGTGTTTTGCAAGCACACGTGCAGAATGCTTGAAGTGGCAAACCATAGAGACGCCGTTCCTTGCAAGATCCATTGCAACGTTGATCAAAGCCGAGAGCTCACCATAATTTGTTGCGACTGATGGGCCCTGGCCCCTACTTACTTCGGAGAAGGCAGGGTTCGGGATCACGTTCTGCAAAGGTGGTGAGTCAAGTTTCACTGCATCCGAACTGTTTGCACCATGTGCTCTCCTTTCAAGCTGATACCTAGCAATCACAAACTTTCATGTTTGTAGCGAGATGGAGCTGCTCAACTTCTCTCTGGTTCTTTGCAGAGTTCGAGATCGAGCATAGCTCGTGTTTGATCTTGCTTTTCGGGTGCTTGTTTTTGACATGGGTGAGCAGGCTCCAACTGCCCGTTTGAGTGGCTTAGCTTGGGATTGGTTCCGCCAACCTGAGTTGGTGAAGCGTTGGTGGGAAACCAAGTGGACCAAGTCCATCCTCAAGGTGGCTGATGATAGTATACATGTCCTAATGCGAACGGAAAGACAAACAAGTCGTGTGCGCGTATATGTATATACATCTATAATCTATACATTATACATCGCGGATAGCGTGCATCCAACTTCAATTTGAGACCCGACGGCGGAGATGTCTCTGCCGCACCTGGTCCAGGCCCTCCACGGCCTCGCGCAAAGACCTGAGGCTTCTTGCAGCTCTCATTGGCACGGCAGACTGATCTGAGCCGAAGATCCGCTTTCTGCGGAACAATCAAGTGATGGTCCACTCCAACTTTGGAAAAAACATGAAAGAACCCACCCATGAGCCCATGACATGAGTCCGAGTTCCCTGTCGAAGAGTATTCCCACCCAGGCCCACCCACCTATGTTGAGTGGAGTGTAGTTTGTCACATGCTCGCCTTCTAAAAGCACCACTGCCACTCCCTGCGTCATCTTCCAAGCACCACACATGGGTTGTCATGTCAACGGGTGCATGACAACTCTGCACACACCTCTGCACTGAGCTTTGTCGCATCCTAGACACCGCGCGACACAACACAAATCGCTACTAGTAGGCAGGGACGCTATTAGGTGGTGGCCATCACAAGTAGGTTGGAGGCATTTGGAGGCTATCGCTACTAGATACTACATGATGCTACTAGTAACCAGGATGGTACTAGTCTCCATCTTCACCGGGGCTCGTTCTTCCGTGCCAGCCCTGAGAGCGTCTGGGCGGCCGCGGCACGCACGCGACCCTGAGCGTCACTGAGGCACTGCCGGATCCTGGGACATGACATGAGCCCATCCCATCCGTTGAGGTGAACAGCATGGGTTTGCATCTTTGTGGCTCCACGGGTTCAAAGCCTCTTGCAGTCCCAATGAAAACTGTAGACCAAGTAGTGAACAAGAACCGAAACCCAGAGTCAATGGTATGACTCTCGGTTAATAGATTTTAGTATTAGGCATTTTGGACGTACTGATTACTGACTGGCATAAAAGGCATGAGTGTGTAATGGATAAATATGTTGAACAGATCTAGAAACATGCGTATGCAACCTGCGTATGCCACATGCCACCTATCTATTGGCCTACACCCATCTATCTATCAACCTATCTATCTAAAACATTCCAAAGCCAGTTTCTCTCTCTCTCTCTCTCTCCCTCCCTCCTTTGAATATCTTGAAGCATGGTTGAGCTGACATGTTATTAACAAACAGAACACCATGAGCCCTCAGTCGACCAATGGGAAGCTAGTCGGCTTGTCTCAGGGAGGCCACCAACAAATGCAGGGCAATTGGAAGGCCACGGTCGAAACCCAATAGATTGCAACAATGCACCCACCACCAAGAAACATGAAGAAACTGAAACCATTCCATTCCACCCAATCATGTTGATGAAACCACTAGGTCACTAGGGGACTGCAGTGGTGCTTGAGCCTTGCAGAGTCTATAAAAAGCAAGGTTGTGGCACCTGTATCCCTGCATTTCAAAAAATAACTGCACGTGGACGAGGTTGTCACATGTGTTGCTTGTCACATGAGACATTTCCCCATCCGATCCTCTAGGCCCCTTCTCCGGCTCTCCTTGGGACCAGCTCTTCCGCGATGGCAATATGCCCCAGCGCCTTGACCGCCACCTCTCGAACCAGGGGCCGTCGATGCCGCAGCCGAGCACCTCGCAGCAGGGTGTTGGACAAGGGGTGACCTGGTTCAGGGTCCGGTGTTGGACGGGTCCTGAAGTGAAGAAAGCCAGGCAGACGTGATGCATGTGAGGGGCCACCTGGAGTGGATGCATTTATTTTCCACCAGATTAACATCCTTCACATAATCATAATCCTATGACCTACTAAGACCTAGCCTACACGTAGTACTATTGCATATTCATTAGACATCATGGTTGTGGATCACCCCGCTACCTCATGCTTGATGTGATTCTTGAATGTTTTGTTTCCAAAACAATTCTGGGACAGTCTTCTTGCGGTCCACGTTGCCCAGCACTGCGCAGGCCCGCTCCTTGCGGGAAAGAAAGGGCTGAGCGACTGCATGAACTTGGAAATGGGCAGTGGGCCGATGAAACTAGCCAGTCTATGCACTCCCGGTCCCTAGCACCTTTTGAGGAGGGTCATCACCCTTTCAAACTCAAGGAACTGTCAAGATGTTGGGAGGGAATGGAACTCCACCAGGCCTAGCCTATTCCTAACCGGAACCTTTTCATAGCTGTTCCTTCCCTAATTATTTCAACATATTTCATCATCGAATCTTCCAACCTTGGCGGGCTCTGTGGCGTTCTACTCCTTCCTGACTTTTGCAGAAGCCCTGCCGGCATGGGAATTGGTCCATCAAATTAATCCCAATTTGTGGCATTCATATGCCGCGAGTTGAGCCAAATGCTGAACACGACGAAAGCCCCCTTTTTCCTTCGGAGACCCCTCCCATGTGGCGTCAACCCCGCCGCTTGCGGGCCGTCAGCCCCGCCCCGACTTCTTGCAAGCAAGGTGCATGGCCACGCGGCGACAAGCAAGCAAGCTTCCAAATGGCTCCGGTCAGGTTGTGCCCTGCCACCGGCTGCCTCACCAGCTTGCAAAACACCTGCAGTGCCGGCCAGTTCGGTGACGCAGGGCCGGCGGGGTGAGGTTATGGACAGTTCTACAACAGGATGAAAAAGGTAACCATGTTTGGAAAGAACCAACTCAATGGTTGGATGAATGGTTGGCGATGGCATCGGATCCAATGATTCGGGTGTGTCTTGAGACTTTGAGCTCCTCCTGATGAGCAGGATGCAAGTAGCTGGTGCATAGTTTGTGTCCATCTCTGCTTCTCTGCGACCCTCCTGCCTCCAAGAGACCCTCCTGCAGCGCTTTGCGCATGGACGGAGATGTCTGTTGCAGTACCATGAGACTTCGAGCATCCTGCAGGGTCACAACCGGCTGCACATGTTGTGTGTTGTGTTTGCTTTGCTGCGTGGTGTCCTCAGAAGCCTCTGATTGCCCATGTCTTCAAGTGTGACCCCAATATTGTTGGTTGGAGTACACAATGAATATATATATATATATACATATATTCATCCCCAAGATTCATGTTCCAAGGAAGGGTGGTGTGTGGACCACCTCAAAAGGATCGCAGATTTGTTCGAAGTGATGGGTAGCCTCCCGCTGCCGAGAGGCATAATGCAAAGCCAGCTCCAGTTGCTGCAAGCAACGCCCCACGGACATCGCCAAGAAGATGCGTGGCGATCGACTTCGTCAAGGCTCCCCATCGCGAAGAGAGGGGCTGCTGTTTCGTCGACCGGATGGGTAGACTGAGGGAGGCTGTGCTTGGCAGTGCAAATCGAATGAAGAGGAAATCTCTGGTTTTGTCCCAGTGCGTAACTATATTTTGCAAAGAACAGCCCGATTGGTGGACCTTTCCCAGGATGATGTCTTCTGCGAATTATGGGGGCGAGGGTGCAAGACATGAAATGCGACTGTCATTATGAGGTGTCAAGGTATCTTGGAGACTCAGGCGGCCGCTATGAAGCTTGAAAGCAAGAACGAAACTGAAACACGTAGCTCAAGCTGGAAAACAATCAGCCTAAGCCTCCAGCAAACGGTTTGCAAGTAATCATAGAAGACCTATGTGATATTTCATCGTAATTTGACATCACATGGGTCCTTTGTGAAACTGCCAGGCCTCCCGCACCCGCCGGATGCTCGTCACTTCCCCCTTCCCCCTTACCCCGAATGTGGAGCCCTTATGAGCCCTTACGAAACCGCAGAAAGCACGACCCAATCAGCAACGAACCACCCGACTCGGCAACGAAACCGTCTGGCCATGAAAGGCATTCGGAAACACCCGGTCGTTTCTCCGGAGGAGAGTTGAACAGTTCTGATCTTGAAAAACGTCCGAACTGGGCACGGGGGGAGAGTCAATCTCCCTCATGTATAATCGGATAAAGAGGAACCAACAGCACCATGAAAACTGCAAATCGCCTGTTTAGGTGGATTCTGGCCAGAACAGTCACCAAATCTAAGCTGCCGAACACCGCTGCAGCTCATCCAACATCGTGTCAATGCCTCAGCACACAGCGGGTAATAAAAGAGAGTAAGGTCAACAGGATTTGAACATTTATATATCATTTTGACGGTGGCCTGCACTTTGGGTATTCTCACCACAGATTAACGGACCCGGAGCCCGGAGCAAGAATTGACATTAAAATGATATATCCTCAAAAAAAACTGTCCCAAAGAGAAAGTTCCAAGGTACAAAAAGGTTCTCAAAAGGCGAGTCTCAGACAAAAAAGTTCAGGATGGCCGAGCTTCCATGATCAGTGGCAAGTTACGGGAAGTCTTTGCTCCAGGAGTGACTTTCATTTTGGGGTGTGTTGCTTGCAACATTGCCACTGACCACGCATCATCAGATCAGCCAAGACCATCAAAAATCGGTCCATTGCCTATAGTTTCTCTTTTTGGCCCACCCGGCGGCTCCGGAGCTTACCTGGGCATTTAGAAATATATACAGAAGATCATTCTAGTTGAAAGGCATCTTGGGTCAGAGCTAGCTCAGAAATGTTGAGGACATCATAGATCAGCTTGACTTGATCCTCGGCGCGCCTTTTCTCCAACTTTTGCGGTTGCTCCGGCCTCGTGCCGGTCCTCTGCTGTCTCCACCGGCACGGGCCCCTCTGCTGATGTACAGGGTCGCCGATCTTTTCTGAAATTGCCAATGCCCAAGTGGGGTGCCTGTGGCATTTACACGCACTTGGTTTGCTCCCTTCCAGTCGAAGTCGTCTCAAATCTATAGCTACCTATAGCTATGCTTTACCTGGTGAAGTATCCCGGCACCCCTTTCAACTCTAGACTGTTTGGCCAGTCCCCCCGTCAGAGGCATGTGCCGTGCCGTTGTAACGCGGGTGAGGTGAGACCTTCAGTGGAGAGACTTGGAGCAAACAAAACTGCCATGAAAAAGATCAAAAGCAGAGTGCTGCATGCAACCAGCAGACCTACCTGACTTCATGCATCTATCTTACACCACTGGACCAAATAAGTTTGGTGCTACCACGCCCCCAACGCATTCAGCGCTTGCCACAAGGAGCTGATTCTGAGAGGCTCCCGAGCGCCTCTCCACTGCACGGAGTGGGAGAGCGCTTCGAAGAGCGCTCCGCTTCGGCGGTCAGACGATCTGTTTCTGCTCGAAGTGGTTTCGGAGGTATGTGAGCTGAAAAGCCGCCAGGCTAATCAGCACAGCCTGGGTCTGGCGGATTCGTGCACGCCTGGATGGAATGGGAGCCAGTGCCGGATGAATCGGGGATCGAATGAAATGGAGCCAGGACTGAAAGTCCCCCTTTGACTGAGGGCAATCCCCACTAAACTTTAAACCATTCATTTGGAGGCCGGAAAGGTGCAGAGTTTGGTAGAATCGGAAAACCGTGAGAGAATGCGGTTTAGCAGACTCCCATCAAACGGCCATCTGTGTCGCAAATGTTCAGCCCACAGCTCTATGGGGCAAAGGCCACCTCAAATCTAATTTGATGACCCAATGACCAAATGGCTAGGCTGTATCCGAATATCATCGAATATCCCAATGACTCAATGACCAAATGAGTCATGCCACATGAATGACCAATGAGTATATGGCTAATTGTGATATCTAGAATTTGATGACTCAATGACCCACTCTCCCGTGCCTTGGCACCCAATTTCCGACGATGGCACTTATGGCTGTTGATTCTGTTCAACTCCTTAGGCCCCCTCCTGACCCACCATACCAGTGCTTCCCATATCTTCCAATCATGTCCAGGATTGTCCGGGTCTCCATATACTCTCCCCGGAAACAACCTGGAAAGTGACAAAACGCATTGGTGTGCGGAAGAATGGTCTTAGTCTTCCAAGTTTCCAAGTGGACATGTTCCACTTCCCATGTGAGTTCGCACTTTATCCATCTCTTCAAAATTCAAAACCACCACCGCAAAACCCGCCTCAGAACCCACCTCGCGGCCAAGCGTCCACCTCCGCAAAGGTCCACCACATCACTCGGGCGTTGGTCGACTCCGCCGTCTCCCGATGGACCGCCTGGCGCTGACGAACACCAATGCCGCGAGTTGCGTTGGGCGGTAGTTGGCCTAGTTGGCCATGAGTGTCCACCGATTCTGCCGGGCCATGAGTGTTGCATCGGCTTTGGACGGATGCATTTCCATGCTTAGAGGCTCATCTTGTGATATGCAAACGTAGCAAATGCCAGTCACAATGAAGTTGCAGCTCACAGTCTTGACGCATCGCTCCTCGCGAGTAATTGCATACCGCTGTTGGTCCAGAATGTCGTTGGCTTTTGCATGCAGCTTGCCAACCAGCTCCTGCGCCGTTCCCCAGGGCTATTCTTCACATTGTCTCACTGATTCGGAACCCACGAGACGAAACACCATCGGCCATCGGCTATTCTTCACTCAAGCTTCCGAGCGTACATGTTGCAATCAAGCCTTGGCCCAAAATCTTCGCACCAGCAACCATACCCCTCACACCAAGGCAACACACCTGCCCACCCAACATCCATCGCAAAGGAAACAGAACCGGGCGAAGGAGCAGCGAAAGAAGAAGGGAAGCAGCTCCTCCACCCTGTCGGTGTGCTCTTTCGTGACATATTCCATGTGCTCCTTATCGTGATGACTTCCTGGGCCACACGGCGGCATGCCGAGTAGAGTTCGCACGCGCGCACGGGTCGGCACGCACCGGAGCATATGCAGTGTCGGTGATCGTGGCGTTTTGAAGAGCAAGAGCTAGAGCTGATCTCATAGAAACACCGTCCGAGCCCCCGTGCCATCGCCGTGCTCATCCACGTGGAAGTTGAAACTCACCTCATGCGATGACACAGCTCTTGGTGACATTTGTGGACCAGGGTCGAGGGTGCTTCCCTACTCCAGTATACAAGTATGTATATTTGCGTTTTGTTATGATGCACCTCTTAAAACCATGTTATTGTACACACCACTTTTTCATGTAATCTATAGACATACCTGGTCATTCTGAGGAATCTAGGCAGCCTTAACCCAGCAGAAAGCAAGATGGTCCACAGAGTTGCCCGTCGCCCTCGTGCCCCTTGCCCCGTGCGGTCCGGTCGCCATCTGACTCTCTTCGGCCACGCTGGTGAAGCACAAGCTATGAGGCGACTCCTCCGTCACCTGTTGAGCCAAGCTATGCGGAGGTCGTGTGGATTCTTGTGGGGTGTGTAACAGGTGTATGGGCTGGGGGACCCTTCGGCACGGTTCACGTCTGGCACGACCCCGCGACGCTGCCATGGGCCACGTTGCCTCGATGCTAAACTTCCCAGAAGGGCTGGCCTGGGTCGTTCGACCGTCGATTCCAACCCGGTCAGAACAACAGTCCGACCGTGTCGAAGCCCCAGGAAATTCCACAAACATCCGGCATGCGCGTGGTTCGAGGACAAATCATGCAATATGCACCCCCCTCCAACAGACATGAAAGTGGACCAGGGGTTGGGTTCCTTCCATGATTGTTGGAAGGATACCCCGATCTCCAATTTATCCACAGAGCAGAGTCAAAGCAGTGGAGATAACTAACAAAGCTCCTAATAGAAACATGTTTCGAAACATCATCTGAACGGCAACAAACTTCAAAAACAAACCGGAACTAACCAAACAATCTGGCCCCAGAATCTCAGAAGCTTTGCTCCAACAAAAGCTGCAGACTTCCGCCACTTCGGCCTCAACCCTTTGGGCCAAAGTCTTCAGGCCGGGCCCTCGGGCATTTCTGAAGAGCTCCTGGAAAACTGATGAAGAACTGCAAGGTTTTTGTATACCCTAGAACCTTTCTAGAATTCCAACCACCTTTTATTTGATTGTTCTGCTACGGGTTTTAGATGGTTTTAGACTGCAAAACCAGGCCAACCATTTTTCAGGAAGGCTAGCGTACAAATGTATGTGTATATAATTGTATGTATATGTACCTATAAATATATATTATATATACTACACGCATATTGTGAGTGGATGTAATCCCATGTAATCCCCCGGGTACAGTACGCCGTACGCAAGGGAAACAACCAAGGTAGTGCTCACCCCTCATGTGTCCCACGGCCAGCCGAAAGCGACAGGACGCACCGGCCCTGTGTGGGCTACTAGTACCGGCAGGGTTCACACACATCATCCAGAACACACAATGCCAGCGTCGGTGATGGACGTCCCATCATTGCCACCCTGCCATGCAAAACCAGTTGATGCCTATTCCCCCGGCCCCTCCCAAAAAAGTACACAGGAACCGCCAGGAAACACATACCCGATCATCCCCAAACACCTTTCCCTGCAGTGACTCCCCCGGAAAGAGAAAGGGACTCCAGGGCTTTCAAGTCCCTCCGGCTCACTCCATCGACTCGTCCATCGACTCGAAAAAGGCGGCTCGGCGGTGGAACTGGTCGTCCATCGGCAGTCCATCAAACCCGGTCCATCCGCTCCTTGCCAGAGCTGGTGGTCAGTTTCACCACGACGCCCTCGTTGGGACCATCGGCCTCCTGGAGACGAGGCAGAGAAGTAAGGGACCGGGAGGCCGGAAGCCTTTTGGAGGAGAATGCTCCGTTCTGGAGAATTCCCTGTGATCCTGGCAAGTTCTTTTCGTGTGGAGGGGTTGAAAGCCCTATCGCTATGGTAGCGAGCTTCATTGTGTCTTATATTCCCTTTTTGTGAGATGCCATTGTTGATATTTCCTTGTTGATCTTGTTGTGAACTCCAGTTAGTTTGGGAGGCCTCATTCCAGGCACCCGTGGTGAATCAACAGTGCTGAGGAACAGACACCCTGCAAACTCAATCTGCGTTCTCTTTACAAATAGTTATTCAGCATTATTGAGCGCTTTTTCAGAGTAGGTTGGACAAAAGAACCTAGCGGTGGTATGATCTTCTCATCTAGAATGGTGTATGGCTTTGCCATCTACTGTGGACCTACCGTCAAGGCCTCCGACAACTAAGATGAACCGTCAGATAGATTCGAACAAACCCACGGAAAATGACATTCCTTCGCTGATCACCTTTGTTTTATGTTGTTTGTGCACCTACTACACTCCCCGGAATTAACATGGAAGTGGAGAATGGCCCCTCGGAAGACCATGAAATCCACTACAAACAGGTGGTGAACTCCACTTCCATGTTAGTTCCAGGGAGAGTAAATGTTTTTCACTGACTGAAGTAAGAATACCCAAAAAGCAAGTCGCAAAACACCGAGGCTGACCGAGGCGACCGAATACCGGCTTTTCTTCCGTGCCAAGCGTCGTAGCTGCCGTGGACCAGGTGACCTCTACCAGGAGACACCTTGAAGCATTCCTTGGCCAAGCAGCGGCATTGTCCAACTTGTGAAGAGGGAGGAGGGTATGGGAACATCATCCACAGCTTACGTTCATGAGAGTGGTTCGATAGTTTCTAGGTTGGACCATCTCCTAGTACAAACTCTGCCCCAAAAAAATCATCTGCAAACTGTACTCTCTACTTATCGTCGGCATACAGTTCGACAACTCCTCTGCATGTGTCAGCGTATGTTGGCTTGTTTTTCCTACCCATTCTTGGATCACTACCTTCCAATTCTAAAAGGGAGAAGGACGCCCAAGGTTCACCGGAACACCCGTGATCACCCATGTGGATCCTCCTGCTTCTCCAGGCCACGGCTTTCCCACCGATCGTTGCACACGCGTGTTTTACCCGAGGCCCTCGCGGCAGGGCCGGCGCTTTGAGCCTTCAACTCGAAGAAGAGGCCTGTACCTTGGGGGATGTGGCTAGCTCGTGGCTGTGATCATTCCATCCATCCCAGGCTAGCTCATCCCTCTTGCTTCGCCAGGTGGCACGAGCGCACCAAGAGCACCAAGACCGCACGATGCATGCTGCACCTCAGTCTCAGTGAGCTTGGTGGCATCCCAGTCCACCAAGTGGATTGCCGCCAACTTAAATCGATTCACATAGAAACAGGTGAATAATGGTGAATAAATTCTGAAAGCAGCCATCATTCGCTAAACAACTTTGCCCCAACATTTGTATGATTAGTTGATGCCCGAACCATCCACAAACCAACCATTCATGTTTGGAAGATCCAAACCGGTAAAGTTAAGGAAGAAACGACTCTCCACCGGCTCCGCTCATCCCTTCAACTCATCCGGCTCCGCGCACGGCCGGGGCCCAGGCCGGCCCTGGCCCACCAGGTGCTGCCGGATTGACTGAGCCCAAAGATTTGCCATCCAGTCCAGCCAGCCCTGCTGGATGCAGTAAGAACCCAGGATTCCGCTGGATGGAGTACGGACAGTCGGGTCAATACTGTATTGATCACGTTGCAGCAGTTGTTGGTTTTGTCCGTTCACCCATTCATGCCTGTGGTTGGAGCAGGAACTGACTTTTCCGTTTGAAGTGATTCATGCCGCTTCATGGGCAAACTCGGTCACAGAGTCCCGGAGTCCCTGTGCACCGCGTCCGGACTGGCCAAGCACCGCTCTGGGCACCCAACGTTTGTAGGCCACGATGTTTGGCCCTAGGTCCACGCCTCACCGAAGCATAGCTGAACCAGGGACCGAGAAGCGGCCAGTCACATTGGTGCGATGGACTCGCAAGGCATGCGTCCACGGAGGAAACCGAGTCTCAACTGTCTCTCTCATAGATTAGATTCGATTCTATTCGGTTGGCTTAGGTTAGATTAGGTTAGATTGATCGATTGGAGTCAACGATTAGGTAGATTAGATACACCTGATAAATCAGGTAGTTAGATAGTTAGCTAGTTAGTTAGTTAGTTCGTTTGTTGGTTGGTTGGTTGGTTGGTTGGTTCGTTAGCTAGTTGGTTAGTTAGTTCGTTAGTTGGTTCGTTAATTACTTTGTTATAAGCTAGTTATTAAGTATATATATAGATAGATCTTGTGTCTAATGGTGGGTGAATATGTCGTTGCATCAGTTCATGATGCACACGATCCAAGCCCAACTCTCACCCTGAGCTCCCAGGCGAAACAAATGATTGCGTCCACCCCGCCTGGAACCGGCAGCAAGAAAACACAACTGGACCTTTTTTTCGAGTCAAAGGCCTCCACTCCAAGTGCATCGCCTCGAGGATTAACAAAACTTGTGGCAAGTCCCAACACTTCCATCCTTGCCCTACTTGATCAATCACAGAAGCGTCTCTCCAAGGAGCATCAACTTGCACAAGCCTACATCCTACGTATGTCGTTAGCGAGTCTGGCAGAAACCAGCGCGAAGATGAGCAAGCTACAGTCCCCTGCCTAGTGGCTTCACATCCTTCCCATTCACTGCAATTGCAGTTGTTCAATCAAACTAGCCTGACCACCTGGAGGCCCTACACTTCCCGCTGAACGTCGCCCCTCGCCCACCTGCCGGCGGGCAAACGCTCGTACCTCAGGTCGGATTCGAGACGCCCTTGTCTTCGTCCCAACACGTCGCCTAAGGCTCTGCAGCTGTGCCGACTGCCAATCAACAGCTGTTGATTCACAGCTCCACGGATCTTGCGTTTGTTGGCCATCCAGGTCCGGAAGTTGGTTATTTTTTGTTGCACGTCCATTGATCTGTCCAAGCCTCCCACGTGGTCACAACCATGATGCAATCACTTGAGATTGCCTCCACCTCCCAAGTCCGACCGGTCGAGAGGTCGAGCTGCAGGCCGGGTCGAGAGGCTGTTTGACTCGGAGAATCTGGTGTCCGTTCGTTGTCCAGTAGAAACTTCACGGATGAAAACCCAAGAATCGAATCACTGAACCTACAATAACCTACAAACTGACAAGGCATTGAGCGATCAAACAGTTTGTTGCTCAGGGTTTTGTGCTCGTCGAGAAGTTGTTTGACAACCTCCGGAGCCAACAAGCATCCGCTTTCAATTCCATCTGAACAGAGAAGTCCTGTGGGTGTCCATCACACCGCCAAGAGCTAGATAACTACATATAACTACATAGACCCCCTGAATCCGTCGAATTGCCGGATTCCCCGGACTGGCACGGACCCAAGAGCCACACGATTCCCCAAACGACCCGCCTCGCCCGAGATGGTCCTCGTGGCGTCTTCCACATCCACGCCGCCATCCACCGTGCTGATCAGTACCGTGCGACCTGATTAGAGCGGCGCACGAAACGCGCACGCGGCGGCGAAGCCCGGACGCGTGATGGCTCCGTTCTCTTTTGTCAGGCGCGTAGGTTGGGCATCATCTCCCAGAAACAGCGGATGATGTTGGTGGGGAAAGGCCTGTCTCAACAATATGGTGATAGTATTCTCCGACTGTTACTGGCAATGGGCTTGCGGTCCACAAACACCAGCTG